ATTTCAAGCCAAGTTACTTCACGGCGTTTTGATTGTTAGAGTATCGACAATAGTCTTCGGGTGATGACTGGACTATTCCTCCGAGAGATGACTATTTATAGGTCATTCGAGTGATTTCGCCTATCCCCTTTTTTCTCTCCGCTTCACTGGTTTAGCGGGTACTTAATGTAAAATATACATTTTCTCACAATTTATTATACGTTTATTATTTATTACACATCAACTTTAATAATTTTTTTTATTGATTGCAGGTCGAGGAAATGATTTCGTTGGAGGCATCGACAATGAAGCTTTGGATTTTTCTCAGTTGGAAGATTTCATCAACAGCGAGGGATCTCAGGGAAATAATTCGTATTTTGGTGAATCGCTGAATTCGCCTTCTGGAAAACTCCTGAATGTCATTGTGGAAAACAAACGTAATAACAACGGGTGAGTTATAAATTCTCCATAACCAAACTTATTTTATTAAAAGTGGAATTTTATTAGAAGTTGAATTTTTTAACATATACAACAATATTTCACAGTGTGGTTTTTATATAACAATGTACAATAAAAATAACTATAGTTATAGTATTGAGGATTAACACGGAGTTGGAAGGTTAATAATTCGAACAAATTTAGGGCAACATTGATTATTATAATATGGAACATTAAACCATTGAAATATTCTTTGTAATAATTGTTTATTTTAATATTTTTTTTATAAATCTGAAAATCAACTGATCATAATGACTATTAGTTCCAAAAGGTATCGTTCAGTATGATAAGTATCAAAAAATGTGTTCATGCACAGTTTCATGCAAATCAGAAACTAGCAAAGAAATAGTTTAAAGGCAATGGTAGAGGGGTTAGCCTTAGTCTTAGTGATATTCTTCAGTTTATTTCGAGAGCGCGTTGAATGAAAAGCCATACAACATGGAAGCTAGTTGTTCGGGAACGGTGAATAGAAATCATTATGATTTCATTTTCACGACAGTAGTTATAGGATTGCAGAGTAGAATGTGAGGTGTGGTTGTCTAAAATGCGCATGACGGGATCATCATGGGAGGCTTTGACGAATTTACAAAAATGCTTCAACCATTCGGGAAATAATTTCTCGTTCATCCAGATTGAGCCAACTGGACCATTTTTACTCAATCCCTCCTTTATTATTTTCCTCTTAAAAACAAACATTGGTGGAACATACTGTTCCGCAGGACTCATATAGCAAACTACAGTAGTGGTTTGACCTCGCTCTTCACTACTAATGGACCCAACTTGCTTTCTTTCCTTTGGTGCTAGAACACGAGATGGTTTGTGCATGGTTGTTATCCCGGTCTCGTCCACATTGTAAATGCGGTCCGGGCGAAAACTGTATTTTTCCATTAGTCTTGTCGCGTTATCATAAAGCAAATTTAAAAGCTAGTACCTACTCTATTCTTACTGGGCGCTTCTGGGTTTCTTAAGGATAATTGAGGATGTTTCCTAAGGAAACCATATATCCATTCTTTTCCACATGTTTCTTTATTGTCATTGAAGCTGTGTCTTATATTGTTTGATACAGCATAATCATATGCAACTTTCCGTATACTGTTTGGTGTTAATCCATAGAAAAGGTGTGATAATTTAATTACATAATGAGCTAGCAAGTTTTCTTGTTCGTTAGAAAAAACTGGTGTTTTCCTAACATAATTTTTTTAGCTGGAAACCGATTTCCTAAGACGATCTTGCAGGGTACCATATAGAATCGAGTAGAGACTAGCTGCTGTTCTAATTAAACAGGATTTTTGGCTAACCGCATTTAATGCTCGCTTCATCACCTCCTCTGTCCAGGAAAAACGGACTGTTTTTCACATATAATTTCTTGGCATCTGTAAATAATAACAAAATTTCCATTAAAAAGCAAAGTATACAATATCGACCACTGGTTGGGTAATATCGACTGCCGTGATCGATAATAACTATCATAGACATCAACGTATATTTTCATCAAATATAATGCCTAACCTCAAAATTGTAACAATTTGAATACCACAATGAATTGACAATAACACACTAATAACATTGGTTAGAACAAATTTTCAAAACAGTAACACATAAAAAGTACAAACCTTATTTCCAGAGGCAAACAATTTGTAAAAAATCGGCGAAAAAACAATTTTTTGTTATGTTTATAAAAATCTGTTTTAAAATCTGTTTTTCCGTTAATCAGCTGCCGTCCCCATACGAACGACAACTCTCAGAAGTTGAGAAACTTGTGCGAGCTAAGGACTAAAGAGGTGTTACCTTTTAACGTGTGATTCCTAATTGCACCTCTGACTGATTACGTGGGTTTTCGGTAGTTTTGCAACTATGTCGCAAGATGATAGCACTTATTAGAGTAGTGAAATTACGCTCTACTTTAGAAAAATTGTAGTGGTCGATATTGTCCGCTGGTCGATATTAGACCACTTTCCCCTATATAATATACAATGATGGTCCCAATACCGACTCATGTGGAACCCCAGTTGTCAGTCATAGTTATAAATCAGGAAAGGAGTCGTATTTCGTGTAAAAAAAAATATTTTTAAATTGCAAAGCGCTTTCGGCTGTTACGCCATCATCAGTGCGATACTCGTCAAGTATATACAAGAAGATCCTGCTGTCTTAAGGTACAACAACATTCTGAGTGGACATGAACATGAACATCACAATAAGCAAACATTTGCACAAAGTGTGAGTATTTTAGTTTGAATATTTTAAAAATTATTTTCAATTTTAACGAAAACCATCTCCAACGTGCCAAGTACAAGGAGTCATAGTCATAGTTATGTCGCAGCATCAGCTCATATAGCCCTTGGATTTATTTCACAAAAAAAAAACATTCCTTACTGGCTATGAATGATAAACATGTCATTGTTTGAATCGTTTTTCTAATTTATCAAAAAATAATATACCAAGCGACCTCACCAATGCATTGGATGTTACGAACTTTACTTCCCTTTATAGTTTTTTGGAAAATGTTGGCATTTCAAACAAAATTTAATGTACCTACTGTAACCGCTAATAACCCTATAGTGGTTGATGCGGTGTTTTTCCTTTTAAATAAAGAAAAAATAATAACGAATGAGCAGGTGCATTACCGTGATGGAAAAGTCATGAATTGTTTTTCCACAATACCGGACGTTTTCTTTGTATTGCTTCTCGCAAGCAGCCCATATCTTCAAGATAATACTCCTTATTGACTGTTCTACCATGCAGCAAGAACTTCTGATGCACTTCGCCACGGTAATCAAAGCAAAACCGTGACATTTGATCGAACTTGGCGCCCTTTTTTAGTCTTGGCTCTCCTGGGCTCATCCATTGGGACGATTGGAATTTGGTTTCGACATCATAACCATATACACATGATTCGTCAGCAGTTATGACCCTTTTAAACAAATCTGGATCGCTGTTGAGGTCATTCAACAATTATTGAGCGATGCTTATGCGACACTTTTTTGGTCAAACTTTAGCAATTTTGGAATGAACTTCTGTGCCACAAGCACCATGCCCAAAATTTACCAAAAAATTACATGACATGAGCCAATCGATATGCCGACACCCTCAGCAACTTGTCTAATAGTGATTTGACGATTCTCCATAACAATTTTCTTCACTTTCTCAACATTTTCTTCGGATGTTGATGTGCTGGGGCGTCCATCAAAATTTGTCTAATTCAGAGTTCAATCATCATATGCCACAAACATGTTTTTAGCACTTAATTATTTTTTTTACACAAAATTCGAGACAAATTATTTTATCCATTTATTTCGATGGCAGAAAATCGCCGAACACACAAAACACTTCTTACTTTTATGCCTTTCACCAACAAACTAAACAGCTGAAAATATGAACAAATGTTCGGGAAGAGCGTACCAAGATAAAAAAATGAATAAATCGCTAATCGAATTTACGTAGCCCGCGAAAATTTAACATTTAATTTATTTGTTGTACAGACCACGTCATTTTATAACCTGTTGTAATTGTTTTCACCCCTTCCATATCTAAAAAGTATTTATCCATTTGATCGGTCGGTAGCCGGGCGGTTCGACGTGGGTGCTTTGTTCACTCAGTCAATCGGCCGATGTGTGAGTCGATGGTGGTTCAAGCCCCAGGCTGAACGATCGATTTTCACTTGCTATCGTCTAACCCGTTTTATTACCCGAAAGTCCACCTGATAGCAGTTCGGAGCACCCGTATAGCCCTCAGGATGGCTGTGATGCCCCCATCACAGCCCAAGAGTCAATATATACGAATCTCAGTCAAAGTATATATAAACCGACAATACTCAGTCCAATTTTAACGGACAACCTTATCTTGGGGTCACACATCGTTGTTACGGATCAAAACAGTGAACAACTTTTAGATAATAGTAATATAATGCAAGACAGTGGACTACTTGTAAGTGGAGACATTAGGGGTAATGCTACAATTTTAAATAACAGGACCATACAAGAGAATCTCCAGAGCGACTCGAGCATTCTGCAGAGCAGGATAATCATCTCTGAAAGCAATGGTAAAGTGAATTCTATGAATAAGTTTAACTTGCATTTAGAACAAAATAGATGTGAATATACATTTTTGGATGATAGTTCATTCAGCTGTATTTTGCTAGAATGTTCAATCATACGAAGTCGATCTATAAGATTTGAAAACAGAATTTTGAAACGTACATGATTCCAACCGAATATTTTTAGAAAATATTCGATATATGATCAATTCAAAAATATCCACCCTTCTCTAGTTTTACTAGAGTGTTGAAACTGTTCACCCTGGTAAGTAGCTGCATAACAAATTCTCTTCTGACATCAAAGATTGGTGGGCTCTAATATCAGTTTGTTGCATTTTGTGCAGGTGCCCAGGTACGCCCAATTACCAAAAAACTGTTTTATGTTTGTTAACAGATGATTCTTATTATCATACGGTTAGTTGAGAACCATCCTTAATTATTACAATTCCTCTATATTTACTGGGGTACGATTTCAAAATGAATTCTGAAAGAATATTTTATTATTCTTTTTTACAATTGATTAGTGGGTTGTTCTGTAGTGGAGAACTTACATCAGTATGATCTGACAACTTTTTCAAAATATGAACGGGAAAAGTATAGAATTCGAATCATCATAATTTTAAATTGTGATTCAAAACAACAAAAATGTCATCGATGTATCTCTCATACTCTTGGACTATTCTAATAAATTTCAACGTTCTTCAAAATTTTCCATAAGTCAATTTCAAACCTACAATTAACAATTTCGAAAAATTCTTCAACGGGTATGTTGGTAAAGAAACTTGGAATATCAAACCAACTCTGTTTGCCTTTACAAATAAAAAATGATTTGAGATATCTTGTACTTTGTAAATTGTCTTTTTGTTATCTTTAAGTATCTTCACCACTTGACAATGTGGTTTTTACTGATATGCTGTCAAATTTACTTTTCAATTAGTTTTAGTGTCCGACCGAAACTGATTTTTACGACCGAAACCGAATTTCGGCAACGATCTCAGTTTCGGCCGAAACTAAAACATCCTTACAAGGATTATGTTTTGAGGAAAACATAAAGAAAACGTTATTATAATCAGTCAGTCTTAATTTTTTCATCTTTAAATCACAACGTTATGCAGTCTTCGACATTTTCACTTATTGATAATCAACAAATTAACATAACAACCCCTTATTCAAGAAAAAATATTAATTGCACCTTGAAAATACCTAAAATAGGTAACGTGTTCATTTGAGTAGGTGTAGATTTTTCTTTTTCAAAAATATTAAACAAAATTACTTATTTAAGTTGTTACCCATTATCACAATAGGTACTTAATATGTATGGATTAAACAAAGTAAATCACAAAGTAAGTCACGACATGATTAGGCACGTGGACACGGCAAAATGTTTTCGTCACTTGTATGAAATTCAACGCGCCGAACATGCCCGATCACAGCCCGATAACTCCCGAATGCAGTTTCGGTTTCAGTCGCAGTTTCAGCAGGTTTGCTGCCGAAACCGAAACCAGTTTTTTTGCCGAAACTCGACCGAAAGCGAACTTTCGGTCGGACACTAATTAGTTTATAATTCTAATCTCGTTGACCTTATATGTTTGAGCACTTCTGAAAGGAAGGAAGGAAGCAATCGATTTCAAAATGTAACTCTATACAAAGATGTGTAGATCATGCAAAGAAGTAACTTTCAGACAAACTGGATGAAAAAGCCCTTTTGAAACAGCTATTTTCATATAAACATTGTATTACGCGAAGGAAAAATAGTTTGAAAACAAATACTTTTATATGAACGCTGAATTATACGAAAAATACTTTTCTCTATTCGGCTTGTATTCCAAACATTCGTAATGGGATCGAATCAGATATCATTCACAGGATTCCTACACAATATCATTAATGTATTGTAATATAAAAATTATTGAAGTCAAAAATAATAAATTTGTATACTCACAAAATGGTTACCTCAGTCAGTTGTAAATCTTTTCTACATTTTGGTCAATTTATAAATTCCTTCACGTGTAGAAAATCTTTGAAACCCAAAATATGACAATAATAGGATCACAAATTTTTGTGGTAAAAAGTTAAGTGAGATATGTACTTACAGAATGAAATATCTGGAAACATACTGTATACATATTTGAGAAATCTATTGTTTTTGATTTTTTTATTATAACTTTTTTCAGACAACAGCCGTCCAATATTATTACCATCATCAGACACATCATCAAATTTTGAGCGAAGTATTTTCAAGAATGATGAGTATGAAAAAAATATGGTGCATTTGGGGTACAATCATAATATAGAAAACTTATCCAGGACTAATGTAGAGAATAGCATGTGTGAACAAAATTTGGATAGCCTACAAGGTGTTTACACGAATTTGCAATCAGCACCCAAGAAGAGAAAGCTGTCTCAAGACTCACCTATAGTCAAAAGTGAACCGGGTTGGTACCACAATCATTTCTTATATGTGAATTTCAAATTGTTTTATGGCTTGTACTGTGATTTTAGGATCTTTCAAAATTTTTGGCAGATGTTTACTATAAAAGGAGTATTGTAATAGTTTCCAACATAGTTATAGTTATCAAAGGCATATGTTTAAAAATAATCTGTTTGTAAATTTTTTTTTCAATAACTTTCATGTAATAGTTCATCAACCACACTTATTATTTGATGCAAAACATTAATTATATAGAACAAAGTTACCTATTATTGGTGGGGAATATGGATTAATTCATTTGTTCAGACTTCCATTGTCTGATATTACATAAAATGATTTGAAATCCCTGAAANCTCGCAATCTTTGTTGAACCAAAGTTTGCCGATAGAAGGTCGTTTCATTGAAAAAGGAATATATGCATCCATGGATGATAGAATAACTTCCGTCACTTCAGAAGCACAAGTTGATGGATTTTTAGTGCTGAAACAAACATGGAAATGGTCTTGAAGATCCTCCCATTCAGCTGATCTGTAATGCCAAACTTTGCGCAGCTTAGATTGTTCCCCAACATTTATCGGTAATTCACTCAACACTGAAATGAGTTTGTAGTCAGAATATTCCAATGGAGACATTACGGTGACTGTGTAAAATTCTGGATTGGTTGTTAGGTATAGATCGAGAAGACTAGCAAATTTTCCATCACGTTCAGGGATCCTGGTTGGCTCATTTATAATGTTAGTAAGTCCGCTGGTTATTGCAAAAGCCTCAGCTTCGCGACCTTGTTAGTCGTTATAATTTGAAAATTTGAGCCATTCGATATTGTGGACATTGAAGTCACCGAATATGGAAATTTCGGCACTGGGATGATTGATTTGCAGAAAGTCAATGGTGTTTGCAAGTGAAGAAAATAGTTCCCTATATTGTGATAATAGAAGTATCGGACAGGAATTAATAATTGTTACTAATGTTTCTGGTGATTTAACTTGAAAACAATTGCAGAGGTATCATCGTATCCAGCTACAATTTTTCGTTTTTAATATCTTTAATATCAATCAAGTCATGTTATCATAGATAGGATCATGGATTGTGTTGCTCAAGTTTTGAGAAATGAATGTGTAGAAAATTCGATCTTTATGTTATACATTCACAAATTTAAAATCAACTGCGGCATTGTTATAGAGGAATCTTGTGTTGACTCTCGATAACGTTCAAAAACTATAAATTTCATTGTCAAAAAAGTCCCTCTTTAACGTGGATTCAACCCCTGAATGAAATTGGTTTCGGTGCATCTAGAATGTAAATTTGTTTGTTCAATAAATCAGTTTATTGTTTGTTCATCGTCATAACAACGACCACATTCGTTTCCTATTCAACACGCAAATTTAGCTGTTACGGTAGTTATCCAGAACAACAGGTAATTATTCATTTCGAATAAAACATAATAGAAAATTTTACTCGGATTTGAAAATGAAAAAAATACTCATTTTGTATACCATCAGCTAGCCGTATAGAGTCACTTTTACAAGTTTTGAATTAACGTACTCAAAACAAGATAAACACTTTTTAAATTTTCACAGAAATATTTCATTAAACCGTGACGCGTGTTTCGCTATAAGATTGCTTCTTCAGGTTCAACCATTCACAAAACTGATAAAACTGTTAGCCAACATTGGCCATCACACGTTAAAAGCTTAGACCTCGTTAGCTCGCACAAGTTTCAACTTTTGAGAGTTGTCGTTCGTAGGGGGGCGACAGCTAGTTAACGGAAAAACAGATTTCAACAGATTTTTCAACATTATCAAATTGATTCATTTAAACTTGAAAACAAGAGGATGCAATTTATACAAAACAAGCGAAGGGTTTAAAAAAAAGCTCTTAGGATTTTCTAGTTAGAAAATAAGGGATATACTTAAAGATACAGACCTTCCACAGTTGAAATGTTTATATGTATGTTCTCATTAGATAAGTGGGAATTTAAAAGTAGTGATTAATTTCATTTATAGAACACTGTACAGCTGGCCAACTCAGTCCCTCCGATCAACTCAACTCATCGGTAGATGAAGATTATGCCTCTTCAGAAGCCTGTCTATCAGAATCTCAATACCAATGCATAAGATTTAGTATATTCCAGCAGAATAACTGGCATATACTCTGTGATCAGAATTTGACAGAATTGTAAGTAAATAATTTTACATTATTGATATTGTCATAATACTGATGAGAGTAATAATACCGCTTTTTTGGCTTATATATCAAACTGAATTATCGTTTTAGGCCACTGCCTCATTACCGGGTAGATGCTGATAAGGGTTTTAATTTTTCAAATGCCGATGATGCCTTCGTTTGTCAGAAAAAGAATCATTTCCAGGTAGGATTGAATCGCATCTCAAAGCTACAGAGTTCATAAAAATAATTTATTTTCAGATAACTTGCCATGTACAGCCTATAGGCGATGCTCAATTTGTAAAAACTCCAGATGGATTTCAAAAGATATCTAGTTTTCACCTCCATTTTTATGGAGTCAAACATGATTGTCCTACCCAAACAATAAGAGTAGAACAGAGTCAGAGTGATAGAAGCAAAAAACCATTCCATCCTGTCTTGTAAGTTCAATCTTTATGTGAATTTTTTTCATATGAAATTCTAAATCATTGGGCATTCTTATGAAACTTATGCTGTATCTTTCAGATACATGGTGCAATTTTTGTGATTAAATATTATGAAAGTTTTCCTAGCAGATAAAAAAAAAACAGTAATTTCAATTCAATGAAATATCAAAAAATTTACCCAGAATCAAATATGTAATTAACATTTTTCATCGTCTGAAGCTGCTAATTGAAATTTGACCTTTTTTTGCTATATAAGTCTCCAATTCAGTATTCTTTGCTATGAATGAATTCAGAATGTCGAATGCAAAGATAAAATTTGCAAAACTTCGAACTTTTTTGCATTTTTTGCAAAGGTTTTCTCAAAAAATTTTTAGGAGTGCCATCATTTTATTTTATTATTCTGTTATACCACATCAATACGTATTTACGAATTATTTCCTGCAATGTTAAGCATAGAAGAAATAGTATTTCTAACAAGGCCGTATGTCTCACACATTTTGTAAACAAGATCTCTCCAACGTGCCAAGTACAAGGAGTATTCAATGATCTGACGATTTCAATCTGACGCAAACTTGCGTCCATTATTAGGTATAATGTGCAAAAAAATTCGCCATTTTGAAATACTCAAGCGCGTCAGATTGAGATATATATGGTTCATCTTTATGTTCTAGACGTGCTGTCTCATAATCTGACGATTATCTAGATGAACTCGCCTAATTTGACAAAAAAAATTATTTTTACTTTTTTTTTTAATCATCCTTCTACGCATGGAATTACGCACCCGTTCAAATATTTCCGGCGTATTTCGTATAGTTTCACACGAGGCAACTATTCGCTCTCTTAAATCTTCTAAAGTATTAA